TTGCCCCCACTAAAATTTTACTCTTTTTTCAATTATATATATATATATTATTATTTTCTTTTTATAACATACACACACACATACACACACACACATATATATATATATATATAAATATATATTTTAATTTATGGCCAAAAATATTGTTAAATAATGACACACGTACATGTTATAAAGATATAATATATGTTACTAAAAATTATTTTTACATATACTATAGATACAATATATGTTGATATATCGTTAAAAAGTATAAATATATAGACTATAGTGACACATTTTGTATATGACTATATGTAGCATTTCTTGTAATATTTGTTTTTTATATCTCCTTCAAATTTTTTATTATATCTAATATGTTAAAATATATGAATATTTTATTCTATTGTGTAATTTCTTTCACTTTATGATAAAATTGTCTTTATTTTTCTAATATTATAATATACTTTATTTTTTGACTAAAAGGTTTATTACTTTTTTATTCATTAAAGATATCATAATTTAGTTTACAAATATAGGATATATTTCAATTTTCATTTTAAATATTTTTAACCCTCTTAATCTTGTATATGTACATTGTGTTTTGGTAGGAGAGGATCTAAATTAAGAGGAATTAGAGTAATTACCACACAAAGTTTTTTTTTTTTTATAACTTAAACATATTTAATAAAAAAATAAATATACTCTTATAAAAAAAAATAGGCATTGTTCTCATAAAATATTTTTGTTTTAAATAACTAGAAATTTAGAAGAGATACAAAAGAAAACAAATAGTAATTATATTATTTTTATCTTAATAATTTATACTATTTTGTTCCTCTAATATTGAATAAGTTAATAAAAATAATAAAGTCATACTTAAATATAATATCAAACCAAAAAAAGAAAAAAGAGAAATTGTCACTCTTTTTTTATAAGAAAAATTTAATTTATAAAAAATAGGTATAATGATTATTTATCTCAAAAACATATTTTTCTCTAAAAAATTTATTATACTTTTAAATAAAAAAGTTTTATAAAATATTTTATTAACCCTAATTAACAAATTTTCTAGAAGTGAAATAAAAATAAGTCAAATAATCTATTAAAGATATATAGTTTGGATTGTTTAATGTTTGACCCGTTTAATAAAAATATCATTTTTTAAATGTCTTTTTAATTAAAAAGACCATGCTTCAAGTTTTTTTTTTAAAATACTTTATAGTTCAATCTATTTAAAATATAAAATAATATTATATATTACATAATATTAATTTGTAATTAATAATTATATTTATTATGTATAATTCTTTTTAATAATATATTTAATATTGAGGCTTACAAATCCATTGGCCTACTTCCGTATAAAATGACCACCTAAATTAAGTCAAACTTTTAAATAGATTAACTTTTAAAAAAAAAAATTATAGTAAATAAATAAGTCAATCTTAGACTAAACTTAGACTTATCAAAACCTAACCTATCTTCACTTATCTTATCAAAGCCTAATCTATCTCCACTTATTTCCATCCCCTAATTGTATAGTAGGACGTAGATATAATGAACTAAAAATTAATTATGTGTGTAGTTTCTGCCTTATGTAAAAATTCTACAAACCATAATAACGTAATAGAAAAAAATATATATAAGAGAAATTCGTTTACTTATGAAAAAGTCTATTTAGAATAATTTTATATTTTATATCAAATTTTAATAATTCAATTATTAAATGTAAAATTTTTTAATGTATAAATTAAGTTAATAAATTTAAAAAAAAATTAATATTTTATTTTATTAATTTAAATTAATAAATAATTATAAAATTATTTTATTATACATAAATTTATTGTAAATGAATCCTTCTTCTATATAATTATGAATAATATTATAAAAAATGTTGTATGAAAGTGTGATCTGAAAAATACATATAGTTCTAATGTAGAAAACTTTGTTCAGATCATGCAGAGGGCAGTGACGAAAGTCCGTTAGTGGAAGAACTAGCAATCCCAAGCGTGGAAGAGCTTTCAAAAACCGGCGTCGTATTTCGGCCCACCAAGGGCGGCATAAACGCCGTCAGGTTTGACAAATCCTCCGCAACGCTCCACCTGCCCGTGATCCACGTGACCGACAGCAGCGACGTGGTTTTGCGGAACCTGGTGGCGTACGAGGCGTGCATCGCGCCGGAGGGAATGATTCTGGCACGGTACACGGAGCTGATGAACGGCATAATCGACACGGAAGAGGACGTGAAGATTCTGAGGGAAAGCGGAGTGTTACTGAACCACCTGAAGAGCGACAAGGAGGTGGCGTCGTTGTGGAACGGAATGACAACGTCGGTGAAGGTCACCAAGGTTCCCATCGTCGACATTTGACAGCAATTTCTGACGGATTTTTCCGTCAAAAATTTTCGGCGGAATTTTTCGACAGAATTTTCTGTCGAAAAATTCTGTCAGAAAAATTATTTTCGACGGATTTTTTTCCGACGCCACTTTTTCCGACGGATTGAAATCCGTCGAAAATCCGTCGGAAAAAGCAAAATCCGTCAAAAATTTACCTATTTCCGTAGGAAATCAGCATTTTTCTTGTAGTGTAATTTGTTGGTAGTGCCCCTATGCTGGTGGGTAGAAGATCATCCTCTTGGTAGGGTGATCGCAACTTTTTTTTTTGTTTTTCTCCATTGGGGGATTGGGAGAAAATGTTGAGGATGCTTGATGTGATGAGGGGACGTTGCTAATTCCCCTAGCTTTGACTATTTTCCCATTATTTAGGCAGTTATTTGATGGGGATTTCATGCAAAGAATGCCCGGTTCCTTGTAAATGAATAAAGAAGGGACCAAACCTGATTTCTTCTTCCTTTTTTATTTGTTTTTCTCCGTTGGGGGATTGGGACAAAATGTTGAGGATGCCTGATGTGATGAGGGGACGTTGTTGATGCCCCTAGCTTTGACTATTTTGCCTCTATCTAGGCAGTTAACCGATGGGGATTTCATGCAAAGGATGCAAGTCCCTTATAAATGAATAAGGAAGGGACCAAGCCTAATTTCTTCTTCCCTTTTTTTTTGTTTTTGCTTTTGGCTATGTTGACATGCAGAAATGTTGAATGCTTATTTCATTTATGCAGGATGCTAGTTTTTGCATATTTTGAATAATTCCCCTAACATAAAGAAAATCTTCTAAGTGTGTGAAATGCTTTTGGATGCATGCAATGCATATTTTGATTTGGTTTTCAAAAGGTGGATTTCCTTTTCTCCTTTTTACGAGTGAAATGCTTCGGTTAATTGATGCACATCATTAGTTATATTGACCAATTAATGTGTTAGATATTCTTGGGGGCTCTCTTTTACCTTTTAGAAAATCCTAATTTTTGCATAGGCCTCCCTTTACGAGTTTTCAACCTAGCGGATCATATTTTATTTGTTTTTTATTTTTATTATTTTTTTGGATACGTCATTATAATTGGACAAGAGAAAAGAAAGAAAAGGATATTTTATGGATTCAAAAGCTTTATACAAAAAGGAATACAAGAGGTATTTAGAAAGAATGGGTGGCCGGGGTAAGTTAATGTTTAAGTTTTAAACAAACAACTCTTTAGATAATAAGCATAATCATTCTCCTAATTATCCTAGACTACATGTCTGAGTCTCAGGCAGAATCTTCATAGAACCTTGGCCTATTTAAGAAGTATTCAAACCACCTCTTTTTTTGTTTACAACTTGGATAATCGTCGCTTATATTTTTTTTAATCGCTAATTTTAGTTAGGACGTATCCTAGTGGGAACTTTTGCTCTATTTCTTTTACCCTATATTTTGCCTAGGACACCCTTTGTGGGTTTTCATCATAGTGGGCTTTTGCAAGCGATGTTTTTCGGGCCTAATAGTTCTTCATGCATCAGAATTCATTGAGAGAGAAGGCTTTTTGCCATTTACATCAAGGGAGGATCAGTGCCCTTCTAAGAAAGCTCGTATGTGGAACTTCCTGATTGGGTCCTCCTTCATAAATAAGACTACCTCTATCCCATGTACCAAGGAGAGAGGCATTGCTTGGTGTATGGGTATCAAAAATCCCTTCATGGACCAAGATTTGTGCTTTCTTGATGAGTCATTATTTTTCCTTATTTTTTTACCTTTCTGTACTTATTTTAATCTCTGATTTGTGCTTAATTGTTGATATTCTGCACTGTTTTCTATTTGGGCTTTAATTGGACCGGTAATTCATATTTTAACTAATTTGAATTTTCTTAATCTAATTATTCTAAATTTTATTTTCAGGGCAGTTTAATAATTATTTGGGCTTGGAATTAATTTTTGGACTTCAAGTGGAGCTGCCACGTCATCTTCCACGTCATCTGCCATGTCACCGCTGCACCATTTTCCATCTCAGCATTTAATTTCAATTTGTATTCTATTTTATTGTATTTTTTGGGTCAAACCTGACTTGGGGGCCCATTTTAACTCTTTTAGGTTTTATTTAGGGTTTTAGGGCAGCCACTAGGAGGATAATCTGATGTGACTACGTAGCTGGCTACCTTCTCTTTGGTTTTTCACGTTTTTCTCTAATGTAGCTACAGTTTTACGTTTTGCTTCCTCTTTATTTTTTTTACTCTCTAATATTCACGTTTTGTTTTCTGGTTGTAATGTGAGACTCCATTTTCATTTAAATACAGATTATTCATTTCTTCTTCTTCTTCTTCCTTGCATTTTCATTTTCGTTTCTATTTTAATGGAAGGCTAAAACCCCTGGGGTTGGCTTCTTGTTATGGATTGTAATCTCTGTTTGAGGTTGGGTATGTTTGTATATCTCTGTTCTGCTTTGTTCTTCTTCTTTTAACCTCTATATCAATCTGTCCATGCTTAATGGGCTGTGCTCAATGCCACAATTGCTTAATCTGTGAAGAGGTTGATGTTGTATACGTTTGCTTAATTTGTGTAGTGAAATCTTGAGTTAATCTTCGCTTATTTGGTTAACTCTGATGGAACAAGGATTAAGTGGTTAATAGAGTAATCTCATTGTGAACCAAGGATAAGAGAGTTACAATCCGAACAAGGAGCCAATCTATTTTACTTGTTGTGTTATCTGCGTTTTATTGTGTTATAAACTAAAAATCTGAACAACCAAACCCCCCCACTTCGTGTGTTTAAGCCTTTAACAGAGAAAAATGGTCCTTGGGAGACGACCTAGGACAACTTCCTAGTACTGCATTTAATTATTTTTATTTGACCAGATACGACTTCAATCATTTCTTTATCGGCCAGATTGAGTTGGAGTTTCCTTTTGTACAAGACCCCTTGTGTAATGAGAATCCTATGGTTTTGCGTCTGATTCTTATCATTTTTTTTATCTAAGATTAACTTTCTCAATTTTCTTTAGTAATCTTTGTGTGTTTCAGATAAATGACTTCCTCATCTACCTTAGACTTAGATAATGCATCATAGTTGTTTGAAGTTTCATTAATTTTATTATCTTTAGTCATGTTTATTTTTGGGGTACTGTGATTGGTTTTAGAATTTAATGCATGAGAAGAGGAAGAAAGGAATAAACACAAAGAGTTTGTATAAATGACGAATGTTATTGATGAATTTAAAAAAACTTATACAAGTCCTTATTCTATATGAACTCATAGTCATGGGCGAAGGTCATGAGTTGGACAAGAAAGCAACATTTATATATCCCCCCAAGAGAGCCCTCCTAGCAGCTTTTCAATAGGTCATTCCGAGATTGCTACTCATCATGGTTGTTTATCAGTGTCTGGTGCGTTGGCCTCAAACTTAAGCCACCCGACATTGATAAGCCCTTGTACTTGTATCTTTAGGTCCTTGCAGTTCTCAATGGAATGTCCTACAGACCTAGGTGATAATCATAAGTTTTCTCAAGCCTATAATTCAAAATTCTTCTGTGGTGAAATTCGTACCAAAATTGATGCTTTCAGTAGTTGAGGAAATAACTATGCGTAGCTTGTAGGAATTTTTTCAAACTCCCTTTATACCCTTGGTGCTGTTTTGTCATTTGAGAAGTAGTGGAGAAGGTTACAACATTGATTTCATTTCTCCCAAAAATCTTCTTAGACTTTTGGCTCTAGGAATATTTTCCTATCTTCCCACTTTTTAAGCCTTGTTCGACTTTTTCCTCGATAGTGACTATGTCGGTGAAGAGGGTTGATGTGTTCCCTATCATCTTATTGTAGTAAGGTTCAGTTAGGGAATTGATGAAGATGGTCACAATCTCTTTGTCCGACAGCAAGGGCTCTACTTGAACAGTTAGTTATCTCCACCTTTGTGCATAAGCTTTGAAGGGTTCGTCACCTTTCTTGATCAGGCTTTAAAGGTCTAACTTGTCAGCTATCAGGTCGATATTGTACTTGTAGCACTCGAGGAATGCATCAATGAGCTGCTTCCAGGTTTGAATTCTACCCCCCTCCAACTGCATGTACCAGTTCAATGTTGCATCCGATAGACTTTGTTGAAAGCAGTGTATTAGGAGCTTCTCGTTACCAATATAAGTGACCATCTTCTGACAATACATTATTAGATGGCCCCTTGGGCAACTAACCCCACTGTACTTGGAAAAGTCAGGGATTTTGAATTTGGCGGGGAACTTGATATCTTGTACCAAGCATATCTCTATGGCCTCTTTGATGTCAAAGCTATGACCTTCTACAACTCTCAACCTTTCCTCCAAGGCGTTAAGGTGTCCCATGGAAGTTTCTCTGACTTTGTTGGCACTATTGTTGGATTCAAATTTTTAAAAAAAGTAAAGAGGATGAAAACAGAGGAGAATACAGAGCCTAAAGTTCAAAAGAAAAGTGTACAAAAAGAATCCAACACAAAAACATAAAACTAGTGCACTAGTTTCATCATTTTCACTTGAATTTTTGGTTAACTTGTAGTCTCGGTTTCTATAGCTTGGGATCATAAAAAATTTTGAAACAAAAGGCAAATACCTTCTCTAGAATCTTAATTTGAATATAGAAAAAGAAAGAATAAAAAAAAATAGTTAAAGCAATTTAAAAGGAAAAAGCCGAGAAGTGTACAATCTGAAAATTTCACTACTATTTGGTTTATACTTATCCAATTGCTTTCAAATTTTTTTTGTATTGTTCATCTACTCTAGTACCTATCTAGGAACCTTCCTAACTGAGTGCTAGCTTTATTTGGAGTCTTAATTTTCAGTTTTGCTTATTGAACTTCTTTGAGTCTTGTCATATACACATATTACTCTTCATTTTGGTATAAGCTTTTCAAATTGTGCTTTTGTTGCTTGTCTTGTTTTCTTTCCTTAAAATTCCTGTGCTAGAAGTGGCCTCAAATCCTTGCTTAAGGATCAAGCATTGACTCAACAAAGAGTAGGAAAGTTTTGGACACTA